TGTAACCCTACAGTCCAGAGATCACTGGTCCAGTCTAGATAGTGGTCTAGGGGTTTCATGTTTACAGTTGCTGTTTTCTGTGATAAAGCATTGCCAGGGATCAGAATGCCTTTATCAAGTATCTTCACACCTGGCATCCAGGGCACAGTGAGGATGAAAACAGGTTTTTCCACAGTAACATCCCAGACTGTAAAATGGTTTATGGCCAGAAAAGAAATTTAATAACCAGTTTCTCAAAGGCTGAAAAGGATTTACTAGTCTAAAAAGTTGATACATATCAAATGAATGAAAACCCCCAAACCTGAGCCCTGTTGTTTTCAGTATAAAAATATATTTAAAAATTTAATCTGTTCAGAATAATGAATCTTTGGAACACACAGACAGATGGTGGGTTAAAAACACGTTTTTAAAAACATGCCAGACGGCTTGCAGGCACAAGAGCAGCAGACTGGAAGTCCCCAGGCAGACAGTAAAAAAATATTTGCATTTTTCTGATACAGAAGGGTGTGTGTCAGAGAGTGTATCCCCTTATCTCCACTCCTGACACTTCAAAAATTAGTTTTGAAAACTACATGACAACCTATGTTTTTAAACGTGGTCTGAGGAGAGGAGGAAAAACCAGCACCTCTCTGTGTCTGTCCAGGGCTCCTGCAGCATGTGTGTGTGCTGTCAGTGAGAGCTGCACCAGTCCTCCCTCTGCTGTGGGGCTGCAGTGTGGAAGAGGAGTTCCTGTCCTGACAGTGCAGGTGTCAGAGGAGGAGAACAGCGCCCCCGGTGTCTGTCCAGGACTCCTGCAGCGTGTGTGTGCTGTCAGTGAGAGCTGCACCAGTCCTCCCTCTGGTGCCTCAGCTCTGCTGTGGGGCTGCAGTGTGGAAGAGGAGTTGTTGTCCTGACAGTGTGGGTGTCAGAGGAGGAGAACAGCGCCCCCTGTGTTTGTCCAGGGCTCCTGCAGTCTGTGTGTGTGCTGTCAGTGAGAGCTGCGCCAGTCCTCAGCTCTGCTGTGGGGCTGCAGTGTGGAAGAGGAGCTGTTGTCCTGACAGTGCAGGTGTCAGAGGAGGAGAACAGCGCCCCCTGTGTCTGTGTGTGCAGTCAGTGAGAGCTGCACCAGTCCTCCCTCTGGTGCCTCAGCTCTGCTGTGGGGCTGTAGTGTGGATCAGGAGGAGAACAGCGCCCCCTCTGTCTGTGTGTGCTGTCAGTGAGAGCCGTGCCAGTCCTCCCTCTGGTGGGCCGAGTGTGTTCCCGATCAGTCATACAATCTCTTTGGTAGCTTTCTGGGCTTTCTCATTCCCAACACCTTGTCGCCACGGCAATCAGCTCGGCAGTTCCAGCGGGTCAGCCCGTGTCCATGGTGACAGTGTCATGATGAGGCTGGGCCCCGCCCCCTCAGATCTGCAGCAGCCTATAGGACGGCTCCTCCTGGGGCATGGGGAACCTCCAGAACAGCCAGAAGCGCACCAGGCTGGTGATGATGCCAGGCGTGTTGGGCACCTGGCAGGGCAGAGACA